TGTATCTTGCTGTAACTGAAACATCTGTTCATAATGTTTCGTCATGAGGACCTCGTGTTCGCTTCTAAATTGACGGACGTATTCTTCCGTTTTTTGAGCCAAATCTATTTCACTGTCTAACCTTTGTTTGAGGTAATCAGTTTTATCAACGGCCTTATAGAATGATTCTTTCAGCAAGATTGCAATTTTAGCCAGCTTTTCATAACTGGACTTTGTGATTTCTGCAGAGGTCACACTTTCTGCAACCTCCTTCAGATTGTCCACTAACTCTTTTGGGTTCATGCGCTCTGTCTGAGTCATAAATGGATGTAAGGACTCTCCGAGAAGCGCGAGCGCATTCTCCAAGTAGTCCGCAATTCCTTTTGTGTCAAAATCTTGTTCTAACGCACCTGCCATGTTTTCACTGTGTAGCAATTTATCTGTTTGAACAGTTGCAAGCTTTAGATATTTTACAGGTAAATATTTGTATTCAAGTCAATGAGTTTTCACACTTATTTTAGCTTTGGGTTTACACAGACGTACTGTTATAAGTCACTTATTCAAATGTGGGTACCTTTCTCAGGTTTTACCCCAATTCATGAATATTTAAGTAAATGCTCTTTCAGCAGTGTTACTTTTTGTGCTTATTTTCCACAGATACTAGAGTACCAAGCTGTTTTTAGTGTATTTACTCTAAAACACTGAATTTTTTATAAACCTGCAAATTTTCTTTTAGTCTCACAGCAATATTAGTTTAAAACATATTTTAAACCGTTCTGTTCCAGAAATTTGCTATTTTAAACAGTTACTCACCTGGTGGGTGAAAAGAGAAAAGAATTTGATGATGAGGAATAATCAGTCTTTCTTCAGAAAAACTGTATTTGCTCCTGTATAGCTTCTATTTAAAATTAAATAGAGAGATATTTTATTTAGGTGGTAAATTAAACAGAAAATCTCTTTTTCCTGATAAATTTACTCTTTTTTAGTGATTTTGCAATTAAACGTGTATTATCCTTCAAGCAAAATGAGTAAACTGTTCAACTCTGTGAATATTTGTAACTGTATCTGTTTTAAAAAGTTAATGTTTATTTTTGTACCTTATTTTTAAAGGATTAACAGTGAAATAAACTTTTTGGTGAATGCTTCTTTGCATAAATACCTATTACTTCTTAAAATGTAAGATAACAGTGTTTTATTCAGCTTTGAGGAAGTTTGTTAACTCAGAATTTGCCTTACAGAAAAATAAAAAGACGTTTAATTTCACTCTTTACCTAAAAAACGAAGTGAAATCTGTGATCTCACGTCTCGCCAGGAGATGTCAGTATTTCCTCAACAATTATAACTCCGTCACTTTTTGTGTTGTCCACTAGGGGTGCTATAACTTCCTGTGGCGTTCGGTTGACATCCTGTTGTTAGCCGCTTAGCTTGAAGTTAGCTTCGGCTAAACTCGGTCAAAATCAACATTTCTGAACGGATTTTTTACACAAACGTGGCAAAAGTTTTTGCAATCAGACTTTATAGCTTGAACATGAGTGTTTGGGACTGATAGTAGCTTCATTTAGTGATTTTAAGCGTAGTTTTAAGCTCCGGTCGTTAGCTTGTTAGCTTAAAATTAGCATCGCTAGCTTTGTTTAAAAACATCGTTTTTTGGCGAATTTTAAACTCTAACGTAGCAAAATTTCAGCAAGCAGGCTTCGAAGCACTTAACAGTGTGTCAACAATCACTTTAGGGGAGCTTTTTAGCTTTAAAAAGCAGATTTTATTTCCCTATGAAAATGAATTTCATATCCGGGTCACGTGACTGAAAATCACCAATGGCAACGCAGCGCAGGCTTGAGGGGAGATGACGTAGCACGTCAGTCAAATTTCTCAACCAATCAGAGCGCTCCACAACAGTGAATTCAACCAATCAGGAAGCGTTTTCTCTACCTAGCAAGTTAGGTTTAGCTTAAAATAGTTCGTCACTTTTTCGTCTTTTAAACCATCAAAATGCACTTTTTCTGTTAAAAATTGTAACGAAACAACTTCTAACTGTGTTCTGAGATGGCACTCAGCTTTTAAAACGTTTATCCATCTGTTCAAAATACTCGTTCAAACTGAACAGAACCGAACTGGTCACAGCCGGGTCTTAAAGCAGAACCTCGTACTTTTTAGACAGAATAACGTCTTCCACAGCTCATTAGCTCTTAGTTACACATAACAGACGTACCATTTCAGCTTACACAAGACTTATGACACAATTTCAGCTTTTAAAACATTGCCAGCCCAACGCTTAAACATGCAGCGTTTAGTTGCAGAGTGCAGCTCCAAGCGCGCAGCTCAGCCGCTGCGTAAACTTTACAGCTCATCAGCTGTTACTCTTTCACCATGCCAACACGTAAAATCAATTTACACACGGATTAAACAGTCATTCATGAAATTCGTACGGGCCACCAGTTTGTAGTGAGACGCGTGAGGTACGTGTCACTTGTTGTATGACAAATATATGGATATATATTTATGCATACTTTTCACGAGTTCTTCATTTTTCTGACTGTAAATGTCGTGCATTGAATTTAACAGAAATGTGAACGAGAGACGTTATTTATCTTTGACCCATCAAATGAATGGAATCATTTATTTTCAAAATCAAAGTTTAACATCAAACATTTACATTAATTTGGCAAAATATGAAAATAATAACAGACAGTTTCACAGAAAATGAACTTCAAATCACTCGGCGGTGATTTGAGGACTTTGCTTAAGATATTTCTAAAATATCTGTACTGATTTATGAGAGAGAGGTGGGTTTTAGAGTGAAAGGAGATTATCTTACAGAGAACTGTGTGAGGGAAGTTTAATCTGTTTAACCAGAAATTGCACGCTCCGTCAGATCCTCAGCCCGTCCACGGTACACTTTAGTCGAAGAAGAAGCCTTTACCTGGTTTGACGATAGATCAGCTCAGTAAGCATCCTTCAGACTGTTTCCAGCGCCTCCGTTAAGCACAGCTAAAAATCCTCGGAGAGTCGTGCGTGGTTAGCTCAAAACAGACTTATAATCCCAAACGTCCCTGGTTCTTCATAACTCCAAACTCTTCATAACCGGTTGCACTCTCAATCTGCTCATTCTGTTGGACTATCGGACCTGTTGTCAGCTCTCATTCCAACATCTCTCAGAACTCTCATTCTCTTGGAATTCTGGAATCCATAATTCTCTATTCCTTCTCTTCTCTTTTTTCATGAACTGAGAAGTTGCCACATTTTATTTGGGTCGACTTCCTGTTCAATTTAGAGCTTTCTGATTCGTGGAAGGACCAGAAAGAGGAGTGGATTTGTGACGTAAGATGTTATCATAAGTCAAGGATTGTTTACAACATACAGAAAAGATTATTGCAGCAACAGCAGACTTCGTGGAGTCTCACACTTTGTAATCTTTTCAAATAGTAAAACATGACATTTTTCTCGGTAAACATTTTAGTTGACCGAAAACCAACCTTTAACATACTTACGACAGCTTGCTCATTTCAGACAGAAAATCAAGAAAGGCATATTCAGGTGATTTCTTCTCTGAATGAGGAACAAAAATCATTACTTACTGTTTATGTAAAATAAAAATTAGTAGTTCTTTTCAACCTGTAAAGCATTGAGTGAACTAACACAATTTGATTATCAAAACATTTGTAAGACAGTAATGATTATAGAGGATTGTCTTTTCTGCTTGATTAATTCAAGAAAGAAAGTTCATCAGATGGCCCAGACTTATTCAGATCAATGAAAATAACAGTCTCTGTCCATCTGGTAGATTTGAGGTCACCTGGTTCACTACACTGCTGTTCACAAACGCTCTCCATCCAACCTCACTGAGCTCGAGCTGTTTTACAGGAAGAATGGGCAGAACTTCAGTGTCTCCATGTTCAACACTGATGGAGACAAACCCCAAGAGACTTGCAGCTGGAACTGCAGCTGGAACTGCAGCTGGAACTGCAGCAAAAGGCGGAGCTACAAAGTATTAACGCAAGGGGGCCCAATAATATTGCACGCCCCACTTTTCAGTTTTTTATTTGTTAAAAAAGTTTGACACATCCAATAAATTTCATTCCACTTCACGATTGTGTCCCACTTGTTGTTGATTCTTCATAAAAATTAAAATTTTATATCTTTATGTTTGAAGCCTGAAATGTGGCAAAAGGTTGAAAAGTTCAAGGGTGCTGAATACTTTTGTAAGACACTGTACATGTTGAGTTGTAACAACTCTGCCACCCTGATGGCATCTTATTCCAGGAAACTCTAAAGGTAAAACTATAGTTAACAGCACTATCGAGTTCTATGGGAGATTTTATTTGAAATAGAGTTAATTATTTTTAAAAGCATAGAAGTTACAAAAACTAAGTCATAGCATTTGTTTCACTCATGGGCTGAACATTTTGATACGGCGTATAATAGATAAAGTAACTAAATATGCAGTACCGCTGCTACGCTTTATATGTAGGAGTCTAATTTATGTATTTTTTTCATAATTTAAAAAATTTATATTTTATTTTGAAAGACTTCTTGCCATCTCTCGGTAACTTCCTGCCACTGACTAACGTTTTCCTTTGGCAGAGCTGGGTGCTTGTGGCTTCCAGTACCCACCCCTCATGGGGCAGGTAGTTGTAACACAGTAAATGCCCTCAGGTACTACGATGTACAACGACTCTTGCTCACGGTCTCAAATTCCCAACAATAACTCCACCCACTCTGTCATGTGACCAGAAATCTAACCTGAATGACCAATGAGGTACTCTCGAGGACATCCCCCAAGATATTAGATACTGTTCTTTCAGCTTTTCCCTTTGCAGTGGTCGCCACCGGATGCCCTGACACAACCCTCACCATTTAATTTAATTCAGTTTGTTTTATTTATATAGCGCCACGTCACAACAGAAGTGGTCTCAGGGCTGGGCTTGGGACCACACTGTGCTCCCTAGTGGCTGGTTTGTGCATTAGTATTCATACAAAGGTCCATGCTGATTTGGCGTTTCTACCATAAATAGTTTGTTTACCTGTAGTTGGTGCAGCGTCTACAACCGGAGCTTCTCCTGTTCCCAAATCAGTTTCTCTGGCCTCAGACTTCGGCTCTGGTCCAGGGCTGGTCTTCAACTCCAGCAGCCCCTGCTGGACCTCCGAGCACGTAGGTGGTGGCAGAGACAGAGGAGCAACTTTGTTCCTTGCCAGTCTGGGTGTGGACCATCCACTGGAGTCAGAAGCGCTGTCCCAGCCTTCCCAGACCCAGGGCCTGTGAGAATGCTCCATCAACCGACGGGTCAAACGGTACTTCAGAGAGTCCTCGTAGCATTTAGAAAACGTCTCCCATTTGGGATCTCTGAACTTTTTCATATACTCTGTCCTGACTTTCTTGGTCACCATCGTTTTGTGTATTTTTTTCTGTTTGGTCCAATCACACTAAAAAAGAAACAGACATAACAACCATCTTGAACTGAGCGGGCTCCAAACGTAAAATACTGTAGATATATATCAATAACTGCTGTAATGTACTTGACTTGTGACGACGGGTCAAGAAAATGGAAGTCTGTACTTCGATACATTTAGAGACATTGTGATAAAGACAGACATGTATAAAGACCAAATGTCTTTAAGCTGAATATGACCTCCTCACATCACAGCACACCCCTGAACTCTCAGTTCTAGATGCAAATTCTACGAACACGGGGACAAGACGAGTAAAATGTTGGCTCATCAAGTGTGACAGACGTCTGCATCTCAGTTTATACCTGGAGTTGAAACTGGTACAGTAGTAACATTAGAGCCACTGGAAATAAAAAGCTTTTGTTGAATTTTAAAGGCGACTGTACTCATGTTTCTACCTGGACCTCACCAACACTCCTGCTCTGGATCAGTCTGGCCCACAAACCATTCTGCAGTCACTTGTCAATACTTTCCGTTTCTTTAATTTAACTATGATCAACAAAAGACAGCAGTCTCTAATGTCTGTGCTGCAAACTGTTATAATGGAGAGCTGTGCTAGATCTAGCTCACCTGATGACGTCAGTCTACCAGGTTAATACCATGAGCTCATTTACTCCGAGCATCATATCTGCACATGCACGCGCTCTCCCTTTATCGCTTTGACCATTTTATTTTCCAGGTACCTTTGAAATCTGCGGTGAAAATATTAATTAACGATTAAATCGTTCGGCTGAGTTTAAATAAAGAAATACAACATTTATTGTTTATTCGTTGTCCATAAAAATGATTTGAGATAATTTTTTATGAATTCTTATGTAACAAAAATAATCACGCATAGCTTGGAAGGTTTAAATCCCTACGTATTTTATTGGTTTGTAATTACAGAGCGGGGGAATAATGTAAAATAAATGTAAAATAAATGAACGCGGTGTGGGTTAGAGTCGTGACGTCACCGCCTCACCTGCTCGCAGGTCTAAACGAGGTAAACACGAAGTGGACGGTTGTTCCCAGCCCTGTAAATGTTCACTTACCCCGGGGTCCAGTCATTAAACCGAGTCGGTCCGTTTCAGCTAGCTGCTGCTGTGAGCGACAGCTAGCACCGAGTCTGAACCAGGCTAGCATCAAAGCGAACAACTTCCGCTTCCGCCTTCAAAATAAAGTTTATAGACGGCGCGACGTTAGTTCGGAAAATAAAATAAAATACAACCAGGCTGCTTAGAAATCAAATCTGCGCTGGGATCAGGACTTTATGGCCTGCTAAGCTGTGAATATTATAACCTTTGTCTTAGGCTGCTGAAGTTTTAAGTAAAAAAAAAACTGAATTAGAAGAAATATTTTCAAGAAATCTGAAACTTCCGGTTTGTTTACAGAGGGATTTTTTTATCGCTGTCTTGGAAGAGAATGAGTTCAAATAATATAAACTTAATTATGATTTTCCAGTAGATGCAGGGACAGACCAGTGCACGTGCATCTTTAAACCCCCCAGATGTTGTTTACTTGTTTTTTTAAAGGGCCATTCCACCTCAATTTGCCAGCTTGATGTTTTTAACATTTTAGTTCAACGCTTTTCTTGAACAACTTTGAACTTAATGGGAAATATCAAGCTCCTTTTTTAATCTGTTGTCAGCTGACAATAATAAAGACATTCTAAACACAGATCCCTCATGGTACTGGCAAAGTCTTCAAATCATGAGATGTTTAGTTTGGCTCTCCTGTATGGGGTGCCCTTTGTAAAGTTGCACAGTCAAAAATAAACATCAATATTTTGGTTTATTTAGCTTTTAATAAGAAAAAATATATAGTTTTGTTTTTTTTCAAAGTCATATTTTCACCATGTTATTCACACATTTATAAATGTCATAGTTCCCAACTAAATATTTAATTTACAAGATAAATATTTAGTTTACAAACTAAATACTTAAATTGCAAGTTCAATATTTAGTTAGTAAACTAAATATTTAGGTATAAATTAAACATTTAGTTGGGAACTATGACATTTATAAATGTGTGAATAACATGGTGAAAATATGACTTTGAAAAAAAACTATATTTTTTCTTATTAAAAGCTAAATAAACCAAAATATTGATGTTAATTTTTGACTGTGCAACTTTACAAACGGCACCCCATAGCTTGGCTCTCCCGTGCTGCTGAATATGATTCATTAAATATAAGCTGTGTTTGTCGTAAAGTTTTATGAAAAATATAACGTTACTATTCTAGTCTCACTCACGTTTGAAAACAGACTAATATAATACAATTACTGAAAGATGTGCTACACAGTAAATTATTTTGGATTACATATCAGTTTGGATTATCTCCCCTTTTTATTACTAAATGTTCTGATATATTTAGAGGATTTCAAAACTTTTTACTGGGTATCAATTGTTCACAACATTATGTACTTAAATGTGGGCTTGGGTCTGTGTGAGGTCTATTGTTTGTCAATAAGAGAGTACATTTAAAAAAAAGAAGTAAACATTTTAATGTTTTAAGGTAAAACAATCTAACAAAATCAAAATCTGCAAAACTAAATATTCTAGCTATGTAATAAAATGATATTCAAAGTGAATAATGTGGCATAAAATAGGATTGAGTTCATGTAAGGACATCGCCCACACTGTGAGATGTCGCTCCGTGTACGATTTAAATGATTCTCAGATAATGAAGCATCAAATTTTAGCTCAATATCTGAAACTGACTGAGTTAGAGTCTTTTCTGGATTGGCGCTCTGTTGGCATCTTGAGTCGGGTTGACTTTAAACGTTATAGACGGTTGTAGATGTACATTCAGTGATTACTTCCTTAAAGTTTGATTAAAGTCTGTCCAATAGTTCACGAGATGTTTTGCTAACGAGCAGACAGTGCTGACTGTTTTAAGCAAAAATAGCACATGAGGAGTATTGCTTGAACTGTGTTGAGGATGATCTCAAAACAAGCTAAAACACAGACAGACATGGGCAGAAACATTATTTCTGCTTCACCCTCGATAACATGTGACAGATACTTATCATTATAAATAACACACAGCAGTCCTAATAAGACAAGGCTTTTATTTGCTTTAAACGCTGTTTGTTTTTGGTCATTTCTGTTTCTTCTTTCATTCAGTTGCTCCAAGCTGGATTGTGTCATGCCTTAAAGCTCATCTGCACGCCAGAATTCATTCACACTCAAACATCACATTCATCCGAGAAGGAATAAATTACTTATGTACAAAAAGCTGTTTGATCCCTGCAGGTGAACAATAACCATCTCGTTAAGAGTCCTGGGACAGCAGTGTCCTGCTTTGGATCTCTAACTGGAGGTTTCGGAGGCGCCGTGTTTAGAAGCACTTGCGGTGGACAATGCTGGGTCCAGCCTCATCGTACTCCTGCTTACTGATCCACATCTGCTGGAAGGTGGAGAGGGAGGCCAGGATGGAGCCACCGATCCACACTGAGTACTTGCGCTCCGGAGGGGCAATGATCTGCACAGGAGGGAGAAAGATAAGAGAAATTTTACTGACAGCACCTCATATCACAGGTCTTGAGTTAAACGGGCCTGCATTCTGAAACCTGTAGTCTTTTTTATGGTTCGAGTTACAAAGCACTTCAGTGCTGCATGATGTCAGTTTAACCATCTTGTTCAATAAAATTCATCTAATCTAAAGACAATCTGAAAACTTTTTTTCCCAACTTGCTCTTGACGAAGACGGGCACTTTCTTTTCCTTCTCCTGCCTCCCTCCTGTTTTGCTCTTGTCCTGTGGATCTTTCTCAGAACCTCTCTTTACATCTTCTGAACCATAAATTATGGATCTGATCAGCCGGTCTCTTTAAGCTATTGATCAAATTTTCTCGACAAGAAAACAGGGCGCAGGAGAGCCCTCATGCCCCGAAGGGACACATGACGCGTACATAATTGGATTACGACAACAGGATTATCAGCTTTTGGGAATTGGTAGGTACCTGGGATATCAACAAATTAGGAAAACGTTGGCAGCAGTTTTTGACAATGGTGAGGCTGCCAGCCTGTGCGAAGGATTGTGCCATGCTTCAAGAGCTCAGACTCAGATGCTTTGCGAGCCTGGAACTCTCTGGCATGAAAAAATAGACCTTGAAGAGGCTACAAGCACAGACCAGCAGAAGAACCCTCATGCCCTGAAGGGACACACGACGCGTACATAATTGGATTACGACAACAGGATTATCTGCTTTTTGAAATCAGCAGGTCCCTGGGATATTGACAAATTAGGAAGATGTCGGTACTGCAGCAGTTTTTGGCAATGGTGAGGCTGCCAGCCTGTGTGAAGGATTGTGCCAAGCTTCAAGCACTCAGACTCAGATGCTTTGCGAGCCTGGAACTTGCTGGCATGAAGGAATCGACCTTGGAGAGGCTACAAGCATGGACCGGCTGTTTGGATTCACCACTGAGTGTACCAGCAGAGCTATGAAGGCAGACATGAAATCAGTAGAGCCGGCCTGCCCCAGAACAATTGTTTATCTGAACATGGCTTCCCCACTTGGCCTTGGATAGGCCAACTTATCTCACATTGCTCCTGGAGGATGTGTAAATCATGAAGCTCTGCTCCTGCCCCACCCCCCACCCCCACCCCAAGAACATCTGTGGCCCCTTATCAGAGCGGAGCTGGCTGATAGACACTGTTCCATCTTATCAGGACTATGGAACTTTCTGGCAGTGTTTACAGACAATATCACCGCCTTTGTCCCCCCCCCCCCCCCCCCACCACCACCACCCTAAAGCAAAATGTCTTATCTTAGTTGATTTTTTGTGTGCTGATAGTTCTTTGCTACCTTACACTGTGTTCTGTTCAAGGACACAGTGTGAGAGACCTTTTTTTTATATTTTCTTTCTTCGTGTTTCTCTTCCCTTTTCTTATCCAAACGATAAGGGCAGCGCTTCACAACGAAGCTGCAGCCTCCGTGCACCTCCGTCTACCCTTGTTGTCTTTGGACGGCTGCACTGAAATGTATTTTCACTGTGCTTAATTGTGCAATGTCAATAAAGTTGATTCTGATTGTGAAACTCACTTTTAAATTTTCAAACCTCTACATGCAGTAGTTGATTTGATTACTTGGTCAACAATAGTTCAACAATAGCATACCAAAGCTCTCTGTTTACCGGTCGGTCTACGTTCCTACCCTCATCTATGGCCACAAACTCTGGGTAGTGACCAAAAGAATGAGATCACAGATACAGGCGGTTGAAATGAGTTTCCTCCGCAGGGTAACTGGACTCTCCCTTAGAGACAGGGTGAGAAGTTCAGTTATCCAGGAGAGACTCGGAGTACAACCACTGCTCCTCCACATGAAGAGGAGCCAGTTGAGGTGGTTCGAGCATCTGGTAAGGATGCCCCCTGGGCGCCTCCCTTAGGAGGTGCTTCGGGCATGGGAGGAGACACTGGGGAAGACCCAGGACACGCTGGAGAGACTGCATCTCTCAGTTGGCCTGGGAACGCCTTGGAGTCCTCCCAGAAGAGTTGGAGGAGGAGGCTGTGGAAAGAGATGTGTGGCCCTCCCTGCTCAAACTGCTGCCCCCAAGACCTGACTTAGGAACAAGTGGAAGATGATGGAGAGATGGCCCAAATACTGTATGTTACAGCATCTATTTTCCAGGCATATATTATGAAGATATTTGACTAACCGACCCACCAATTTTGATTTTTAAAAGACAATTGTTTCTGTAAGTTCACATTCCAAAGACTCACATGAACCAACACAAACACTTAGCGTCTCTCCTAAAAGTCTTTGTTAAAGTCGTTAGGAGGACTGATCCTCCCTCAGGTGTCACTAAGCTGTTGTACCTTGATCTTCATGGTGCTGGGAGCCAGAGCTGTGATCTCTTTCTGCATGCGGTCAGCGATACCCGGGTACATGGTGGTACCACCGGACAGCACGTTGTTGGCATACAGGTCCTTACGGATGTCAATGTCACACTTCATGATGCTGTTGTAAGCAGTCTCATGGATGCCTGCAGACTCCATCCCTGTTCAGGTGCACAGCACCAAGGATCAGATTAAACAACAGAGTTCCATCAAGCTCTTCTTTATATGGACAGCTGTTGGGCTGTCTCCAAATGAATGAAATGAGCTCAACTCAGTTACACACCAATAAAGGAGGGCTGGAAGAGTGTCTCTGGGCAGCGGAAACGCTCGTTGCCGATGGTGATGACCTGACCGTCTGGCAGCTCATAGCTCTTTTCCAGGGAGGAGGAGGAAGCAGCGGTGGCCATTTCATTTTCAAAGTCCAGAGCAACGTAACAAAGTTTCTCCTTGATGTCACGCACAATCTCACGCTCAGCTGGAAGCAGAGAAACACAGAGAAATTAGATCCTCTTCACCCAAAAAAACAAAACTATTCAATGAGTGCTAATCTAAAAACGACACCACTGACTATTGTAGTTTCACTTAGCAATGTATGGAAATATTTCTGCCACAGATCCATTAAAAAGCCCAGTGATACGATTTAACTAACAGGAAATAGAGCCAATATCCTGAATTGACAGGTTTACCAGTTGTTACGAAGGAGTATCCACGCTCGGTCAGGATCTTCATGAGGTAGTCGGTCAGATCCCGGCCTGCCAAGTCCAGACGCATGATGGCATGAGGCAGAGCGTAGCCCTCGTAGATGGGCACGTTGTGAGTCACACCGTCACCAGAATCCAGCACAATACCTGACAACAAAAACAATGTGAGTCCACTTTTACCTCGAGTCTGTGGTGAGCTGCATACAAGGATTCAAAAAGGATCGATCACAGCTTTACAGAAGTAAATTATAAATATAGTTCCAGCACTGCACTAGTGTTACCTTCATTTTGACAACTGGTGTCAGCTTTTTTCTAACACTGACCTTGATTATTTACAGACAACTTTCTGACAGATAATTCTGACGAATAGTTTAAGTCCTCAGGGTCATAAAAATGTGTTTAAATAGTGTGAAACTTATTTCTTTAAGCTGAAACAGAATCTATAGAATCTGGCTTCTCAATTGACACCCTTTTATTGTTTGATATATTCATGAAGCCCCCTGACTCACCCGTGGTACGTCCGGAGGCGTAGAGGGACAGCACGGCCTGGATGGCCACGTACATGGCGGGGACGTTGAAGGTCTCAAACATGATCTGTGTCATCTTCTCCCTGTTGGCCTTGGGGTTGAGAGGAGCCTCCGTCAGCAGGGTGGGATGCTCCTCGGGGGCAACACGCAGCTCGTTGTAGAAGGTATGGTGCCAGATCTTCTCCATGTCGTCCCAGTTGGTGATGATGCCATGTTCAATGGGGTACTTCAGAGTCAGGATGCCCCTCTTGCTCTGAGCCTCGTCGCCCACGTACGAGTCCTTCTGACCCATGCCGACCATCACGCCCTGCATAAGACAGAGGGGGAGAGGTTGGGTCTGACTCTTTAAATACTTGATAAATACTCAGTGCTTTAGTCTGTACAGTATGACTTCATTTAGACCTGCTGCATCTGTCTTATGTCAAAGAAATTTATTCAAACAAGAGAAATGACATTTTCTGCAAAAATGCCGAGTGTTGAATGACTGTGCTGAAATTTACTGAAGCTGAAGCTGACTTGACTACGAGAAAAGCTAGAATGAGCAAAACAAAAGCTTAAAGCTAAACTTAACAAAACTGTAGCTAAATGCTAAAATTAGCAAAACAGTAGCTAAAAGATAAAATTGAAGCAAGTATGCTGAAATAGAGACCAAAAGGCAAAAAGGTTTTCAAAATTTTGAAGTTTTCCATTTTGGTCAGTGAGAAAAAAGTTAAATTTTCAAAAAGTATAAGTTACAAAAATCCAAAAGCCATATCTGTAATGCTTTGAACTAAATGAGTGTTTTAATATGTTTAAAATAGATGAAAGTATGCAAAGCTCAAACAGCATATGGAAGAAACTCTAAACAGAAAAACCATAAAAGTGACTCAAAGCAGGTGGAGCTGAGAAAAACAGGAGCAGCCAAGAAGGCCAGAAATCACAACTCCTTCATGTGAGGACGGAGAACTGATCAGGGAGAAGGAAAGCTGTAAAAGTTTGAAGTACCACGGCAGCTTATGGTTTTCACAGCGTGGCTCTTGCATACCTGGTGACGGGGGCGGCCCACGATGGAGGGGAACACGGCCCTGGGCGCATCGTCTCCAGCAAAGCCGGCCTTCACCAGGCCGGAGCCGTTGTCGCACACAAGAGCGGTGGTCTCATCGTCGTCACACATGACTGCGGATCAGAGAGGAGGGGAGTTTTAGAGCTTCACGACTCCAAACACAGGAAGATGAAACGTTGGCAAGTTATAGATCAGATTCTTTCAAGTCGTTGTAAAGCCCTGACACGTTGGGGTTCGTCCGCAGGTGTTCTTTTATCATCGCTTTCTAAGTTTTGTGTTTTAATCAAACAACCCCACAGAAAACGTCTGCTACGTCTCAGTAAGTGAATGATCATGACCCCGTCATGTTAAATAAGCTTCTCAGGCCGGCACTGTTTCTGGACTGTGTACCACAGGAGCTGTTGTATAAAACTGTTTACGCTGATGCTCGTTAGGCAGCAGGCACGAACATCGTTAAAGGCCCAGAAATCAGTGAAGGGATGCATGTTGCTCGTCACTTTCACGAAAGATCAAATTAAGCTGAGCAAACGGTCACTTCCACGGTTACGTTGTGAATTTCCCTCGACTACAACCACTTCAAATTTTAGCGCAATGTCTGTGAATCTGTTTTTGTTTTGTAAGGTCAGTCAGATGCAGCAGCCACCTTAAATTTGATTTACTCCACAGGTTTATCAGCTATAGATGTACATCCAATGATTATTTCTGAGAGTAGAGTTTGAAATCCAAACAGAAATCAATCTGATATTTTGCTGACACACCAAAGGAGTAGCCTCCAAACATTCAGTGGTCAGATTTTAATATGTGTTGTGCTTGAAGAATGTATTTTCTACGATGTTCCACCGCCACACCAGATTCTTTGTCCATGAAACTGACTGCTAGTCCTTTGTTGTGTTTTCTACCTCCAGTTGGCTGTGATGGACATCTTGAACTGGGTTGACCTAAACCTGGTTTTTACTTTGAGACAGCTGAATTAAAATCCATCCAATAGTTCTTAAGATGTTTTTTGTCAACTGACTCCTAACTTTAATAACAACAAAGATGAGGTTACGTGTTGAGGCTCAATCTAAACTTCTATCGCACTGGATTCTGGGTCAGTGTGTAACTTTGACTGAACTATCAACTGGCTGAAGTGGTCAGAAGAACTGACTCCAGAAGTTACTCAATTCTAAAGATTACTGCCTGCAAGTCCAGACACAATTTGTCCAGTGGTTTAAGAGATATTTAGCTAACAGACAGACACATGGAGGGCTAAAGACATTATCTCCCGCCTGTTGCTGCCATGATAAAACCACACGATGCCTTCAAATGCTCTGATATACAGTCTGAACTTTCTGAAGGGAGTGGCGGTGCAGAGGTTACTGAAGGTGGGCCTGTGATCGGAAGGTTGTCGGTTTGACTCCCTGGACAAACAACATTAAAATGTTGGTGGAGAAGGTGAAACACCCTCACCTGCCCCACCCCTTGAGCAAACCCCCATCATCTGCCCTCAAACAGGTCTCTCTTGAAAATGAGTCCCTCATTGAGCCTACCTGTATAAATAAAGATAAAAAAATAGGCCTAACAATAATAATAATAATAATAATAATAATACCCAAAAAAATCATTAAGACTTTCTGTTCAAATGCAGCTATGAGGTTTTTATGACGTTTTTTTAAGTTCAGTGAATTGAAGTTTTTAATAAAATGCCTCAAAATCAAACGAGCAATTTGCAGAATGTAACATAAAGACTATTCAAGATGTTTTTCCAGAGCAGCATTGTGTATAATTTTGTGGACTGGTCCTACAGTTTTTGCGCTGCACTTGAACGCATCACTCTGGTCCCTGACGGTCCTCGTCTGTTGATTAAACCAAACTCTTTCTCTGAGAAGTTTGCTGCTGCCAGGTCCCATTAACCGCTTAAACCGGATTATTTTCCATCTGCTCCGCTCAGTCCACCCCACAACAAGCCAGAACCCACCCAGACCTGCACCCAGCCCCCCAGTCCAGCTGCTCCAAGCCGCTTACCTCTGCTCGTGCCCGGCTGTGCGTGAGGAGACCCGCTGCTGCTCCTCTGAGGACGGTGCTTGCAGAGCGGCCGTCAGGTCCTTATATACATCTTTTCCTCCATAACAAGGAGAGCTTTTTTCCTCCAGACAGCCACTTGGAATGTCCGAGGGTTTGGAGGAATTCAACCCGTGTTGCGGCGCTGCGTCCATATTTGGTTGCGCGTTTGGCTGAGGCTCGTGCGCTGCCCGGGACATATATGGAGAGGATAACCCAGCGCGGGGCGCACTAGCCCGTGTATGGAGAAGAAGCTCACAGACCGTCCAGACCCCCTCCCTGGACAGAAAACATTACTCTCCCATTCAGCTTCTGTGAGGAGAAAACAGGTCCAGCCCTGGTGCCTCCTCAAGATTTCAAAAAAGAAGCATCCAGCTCTCAGAAAGTGAAAAAGGAACTCTAACAGGGGGTGTAGAGGGAGGGGGACAACTGTCCACATATTCAGCTGAGAAATGTAAGAGAGACTGAAACCTAAAGAAAAACAGGCGTCCCAGGCACAGTTGATCTGAAAAGTTGTTCCTGAGCATGGAGCAGGAGATGGATGGACATTGGGGCCTTCTTCTCTGTAATGAGGGTGTTGCTTTGGTCAGTTGTGGTGAAGAAAGAGCTGTGGTGAAAGGCAAAACTCATGATTTACTAGTCTGTTTGCATTTCAACCCTCGCCTGTGCTCACGAGGTATGAATCAGGACTAAAATAATGAGATCCGGACACAAGTGGCCAAAATGAGGTTCCTTCGTAAGGTGGCCGGACTCAGATGAGCAGCTCAGACTTCTGGGGGGAGCTCGGAGTAGAGCCTCTGCATCGAAAGGAGTCAGTTGAGGTGCTTCTGACATCGGGTGCCTCCCTTTGAAAGTTTTCTGGGCATGTCCCACTGAGACTCTGGGGCAGACCCAAAACTCACTGGAGGGATTTAAATCCTGTCTGGCCTGGGAACACCCTGGGATCTGGGAACACCCTGGGATCTGGGAACACCCTGGGATCTGGGAACACCCTGGGATCTGGGAACACCCTGGGTTCCCCCAAAAGGAGCTGGAGAATGTTGCTGGGGAGCGAGTAGCATGGGTTTCACTTCTGGATACGTTGCCTCCATGAGCTGCCCAGATAGATGGAGATGGAGGCCGTTGATTTTTGGAACACTTTTTGCAGGGGTGGGGCGTGAAAATGAAAAAGCTGTTTGTTCTTAGTTTCCTATAGTTGTGTTACACACGAGCAGTTTTGAAGAAGAAAATGAAAATGATTTATTTTTTATTTTATTTATGAGTCAAAATGCTGCTTTAACTTTGAAATAAAAAAGCAATTCAATTCAATTCAGTTTATTTATATAGCGCCAAATCATAACAAAGTTGTCTAAGGGCACTTTACAGAATGATTCACATACATGAAAAACCCAGTTAGTAAAGTTCTCTATCTAAGGAATCCAGCAGACAAGTTGAATCTTGGCTTTGTTGCAGTCTCCCATCCTGAGCAAGCACAGTGGCAACAGTGGAAAGAAAAACTCCCTTTTAACAGGAAGAAACCTCCAGCAGAACCAGCTCAGGACAAGAGGCCATCTGCTTTGACCGGCTGGTTGAGAGGACAGGAAGGGGAGACAGACGAACACAGAATGGTAGGTCCAGATATAGGTCCAGGTCCAGGTGTATCTGAAAGACAAAAAACACGTTAAGCATAGAAAAAATAAATTACAAATACAAAACAGTTTGAGCAGAGTAAGTAAAGACAGTAGCAGAGTGAAAATTGTGGTCAGTTTGTCCTCCAGCAGTCTAAGCCTATAGCAGCATAACTAAGGGACAGCTCAGGAAACCCAAGCCGACCCTAACTATAGGATTTATCAAAAAGGAAAGTCTTAAGCCTAGTTTTAAAACTGGATAATGTGTCAGCCTCACGGACAGAGATTGGAAGTTGGTTCCACAAGAGAGGAGCCTGATAACTGAAAGATCTGCCTCCCATTCTGTTTTTGTAAACTCTAGGAACCACAAGTAAACCTGCAGCCTGAGAGCGAAGTGTTCTGTTAGGAAAATATGGAACAATAAGATCTGTAATATAAGATGGAGCTAGGTTGTTGAGAGCTTTGTAGGTTAGAAGTAAGATTTGAATTCTATTCTGGATTTGACAGGGAGCCAATGGAGAGAAGCTAAAACTGGAGAAATATGATCTCTCCCAGTAACTCCAGTTAAGACTCTGGCAGCAGCATTTTGGATCAACTGAAGACGTTTTAAAGAAGTATTTGGACACCCAGATAATAAACCATTGCAATAGTCCAGTCTAGACATGACAAATGCATGAACCAGTTTTTCTGCATCATTTTTAGATCAGATGTTTCTAATGTTAGTGATATTACGCAGGTGGAAGAAGGTGGTTCTAGTAACGTTTTTAATGTGGGGGATAAAAGACGTGTCCTGATCAAAAATAACACCAAGATTTTTAACATTAGAGCTGGAGGACAGATTAATGTCATCTAAGGAGGGAGAAAGACTGAAAAATTCATTCCTAAGGTGCTCAGGTCCAAAAACCAAAACCTCAGTCTTGTCTGTTCAACAGGAGAAAATTAAGGGTCATCCAGGTTTTTAAGTCTTTAAGACATGCTTGTAGTCTAAGTAGCTGATTGGATTCATTGGGTTTAATGGACAAATATAATTGTGTGTCATCAGCATAACAATGAAAATTTATCCCATGCTGTTTAATAACATTTCTGCTAATTAATTTTAATTTTCAAATTTGACATTTCAAAATGAATTTTGGTCACTTTTTACAGGGACATATTTTGAAAAATAAATGTTAAATGACTAACCTTTAGCTAAATGTATCTTCCAGCTACCAATGTCCACTTTTTCCACTAAATGGCAGATCAGTTACTGACTCACGCTGGTTGATGACCCGAACCCTCGCACAAGTCCAAGATGCCAATTAACCCAACTCAGGTGACTCAAACCGAATCATGTTAGTGAGTGACTCAAAATATGTCAAGTACATAAAGTGATCCAAGATTACTGCCTCAAATATATACTACCTCTTAAAAATAAGGAACAGCGTGTTTCTTAGTAAGGAACACTTCGTTTGTGTTTCAGGACATTTCTCTATTTTAAGACACATTTGTCAACACTGAGTAGCAGACAAACATCGCTGAGCAAATGTTCTGATTTATCCATGAGCAGATCAATAAAAACAGAGTTTTGTTGGTTTGCTGCTCTGGAGCAAACGTGTGTGTTCACACAATGCCAAGATGGAAATACATCAGCAATGAGCTTAGAGAGAACAGGGAACTTTAAAAGGTAATGTCCAAACAATGTCTGTCAATTCTACAGAGAGAAATATTCATTTGTAGAACACCTGTAAGACAGCTGTCAGTCTTCCCAGGAGTTGATGTCCAAGCAAATTCACCCCAAGATCAGACTGTGCAATGTTCAGAGAAATTACTAAAAAAAAAAGCAGAGCTCCAACTCAGACTATGCAGGCCTCAGTTAGCAGGTTAATGACTGAACAAGTCTGACTTGTCTCAAAGGGTTTCAGGAGAAATAATTTTCACTACGAGCACCACAACAGCACAATTTAGGTTTTGTGTCTGAATGAACACAAACTTCTGAAGCTATGTCCTTTGGACAGATGACACCAAATGAGATGTCTGACAAAAATCTAAATCTGTCTTGAGAACCAAAGCTTGTCTTGAGACTGTAAAGATGAAGGTTTGATTCCCAGATACAGACAGACAGATAAAACAGACAGACAGATAAAACCAAACCAAAGCTTAGTTTTATTTTTTAATTTAATTTTTATTTACACAGTCTCGTTGAGTCACGAGAACTCATTTTGAAGAGAGACCTGTTGGGGAGCAGATGATGGGGGTTAAGGGCCTTGCTCAAGGGTCCAGAGTGAGGTAAATAGAGGCAGGTGTGGGCCTTTCTGTAACGAACCCCGTATAATGGACCAAAATCACCACCACAAAAATCAATTAAATAAAAAGTTTATTAACTGATGAAAACGGCAGGATGGACCTCGGCAAGCTTTCGCAGACTGTGGACCGGTTCCAGGTTCCAATCACCGATCCACACGAACAGTCTAAAGATGGAGAACGGTTAGTGGTTGTGCAGGTGACGAGAGTGAAGACAAAGTCAGATGAAAAAACAACCACTAACCGTCTCAGTGATGATGGGGGTTCTGAAGCGCTGAAGCGGGTCCAGCTGACCCGGATGACTGCTGGAGGAGCTGGGTCTGGTGAGAGACGACAGTCGGCAGCAGCTGAAGCTTGCAGCGAGGTCTGCAGGATAAGTTGGTGTCTCCAGCACCGAGCGTGATCCAAAACAAGCGAGTGGTGGAGAGTGGAGCTGGTGGGGATGATCCGTGAGACGTGGTCGAGCAGGCGTGGGTCAGAACCGATGATCAGATGCCGAGATAATCCAAGGAGCAGACGAGAGACGAAGTCAGGAGGTCCGTGGGTCCAGAAGCCGGGAGGTCGAGCCGAGAGGAAGAGAACAGGAAACGACGGGAGGACAGAAACGAGTAAAACAGGAATACAAGGACTTGACGGGACGGGACGGGACGGGACGGGACGGGGACAGAGCGTGGTCATGAGCGCGAGGTATTTACTAACTAAAAGTGTTCAACTACCGGGCACTGAAAAAGAGTCAGCTGTGAGCTTATAAAGGGAGAGGAGGACAGGTGCAGCCAGTTGAGCGCAATCAGCGCTGCTGGCTGCAGTGAAGACAACGTTAAACTAGAGGTGAAGACAAACCTCAACCCACATGCAGAGAAAGAAAAAGAAAAACAAAAGAGTAGATCCCCAGAACCAAAACAAGTGAACAGAGTGACACAAAAACCTAACTGACAGACGTGATTCGTGACACCTTTCATCTTTTCCACCCACATTTTGATGTTGTTGGTCCAAGGAGTTGAACCGGCGACCTTTCAATCACAGGCCCACCTTCTCTAACCTCTGCCCCACCTCTCCCCCAGTTAGTGAGTTACAACAAATAAACACTGAAAAGTAATTTTTCCAATTCATCCATCATCTTTACCCACTTCTTCCTTTTCGGTTCACAGGGGCCACTGGTGCCCATGTC